CAGCAGAGGGCGGGTACAATGCTAGTTTACTATTGGCTATTGCAAATTGAAATAGCCAGTAGGAATCTAGCAATGCATTCCAATGGGCAAAAACGTTTTGTTTTTTTTCTATTCTGACATCGCCCCGTGCCAGAATAAAGAAGAAAAAAGATCAATCAGTGTTTCTCTCCTGTGCGGCCGGGAGACTTTTTTTTTCTTTTTTTTTTCTTTTTATGGCAGCAGAACCGCCAGACATTCGAAAACTGTTGGGCGGAGCTAGTTGTCACTGCTAGCTACGCACAATCGTTTTCTATTTACTTTTTTTAAACTATTTTTCTGTTCTGCTCGGTCCCTCGGTCCCTCTGCACAGCGGCATTCGGCTTTTCACTCACTGCTGTTCGGTATCTATAAGAATATCACAAACTACTTCTGCAGTCGATCGGCTGAGTAGCTGAGTCGATCGCCTGATTCAAACTCCTTCTGCACTTCGGGTCAGCCGAACATGCTGAGCATGTTCGGCTGACCCGAAGCCATGTGAAGCAAGCCGATGTACGGCTGATTTCAGCCGATGTATGGCTGAAATCAGCCATACAAGCCTGAAGTGAATAGCCGAACAGTGTTCGGCTCACTTCACTTGGGGTCGGTTGTTCACTCGGCTGCCCTCGGCAGCTTAGTGAATAGACCCGTATGTGTCCCATTCACACCACAATGCGGGTGGGACGAGTAATGCACTGCAATAAATACAAACATGCTGAATTTTATAACAGCATTCTGCATGCCTCTACAAGTTGCCACACTGCACTGCCATGTGGCGCTCCTTCCAGCCTGTCTCCTCGTCCGCTGCAGAGATGGTATGTCCTTCAGTGTCCTCACATCCTATACACTGTATAGAATGCGATGACTCGAGGATCATTAGACCACTGCAGCGGAGGGGGTGCGAGGCAGAAGAGACCGGTCTAAGAGCTGGCCGGCTCCCAGGATCAGGTGAGTCTAACTTTTTTTCTTGACTTAGACACAAACGAGCACTTAACCCAGGGATATCCCTACTGCAAGGTTTCTGAAACCCCCCCCCCCCCCCCCCCCCTCCTTCTTTTCTTCACATACTCCTATATAA